TGAAACTCCCTGGACACTAAATTTTATGAAAATCGTTGGAGCCGTTTTCGAGATTCCGTTATATTATATATATATATATATATATATATATATATATATATATATATATATATATATATTTGTGTGTGTGTGTGTATATATTATATATGTATATATATCCTACTGGTGTACACCGCCATGACACTGGCGACTACGATGGAATCATAACCATCAACTTACCCATTTTCCATCCATTAAAACCTATAAATGTTCTGCTGAACATTAGAAATAAATTGACTCATAGAGAGAATTCTGCCACAGTTATCACTTTACGCAACCGCAGTTTTTAAAAATTTTGGGTTGTTTTGGATGCTGCTACGTACGTTCTGTTTCAGCCTCGCCTGTCGACTCTTACGACACCCACGGGATGCTACGAGTAGTGGATATTCTTACATCGCCACTACACGGTTTACATTTTTACTTACTGCCACTTATCGATAAACTTTTCTGGCATTTGCCAAGACTGAATCCTTCATAGAAAAGAAGATCAACCAGAAATTTAATATCCTTTTTATCAGCCCGTAAGGGGACTGCAAAGTCCATGGATTGATATTGCAAAGGAGACTTGCCATAACCGCCACGCATGTCAGGCTAGATTGGCGACTACCAGACATCTCGCGCCCATACTACACCCCATCACCAGTCGGAATTATGTCTGACGAAATCGTAATAGTTCAAATAGTGGAGTGGTAAAGATCTCTATGAGCTATAGCATCCACTTACCATCAAGTTGACTGTTGATCGTCTTCCATGCTTATTCTATTTAAAAAAACCATACGTTAACACACCAGGGGACACCATGCCCAGTCGGCAGTCGCCCCTGCACTGAGTATTTGAATGAACGGTTTAAAGAACCGGAGATTCTTTTTACTGAAAACGAGGCATTCCATCTCAGACTATCTTCACAAGGCATACTATCTTAGTCCTCCCGGAAAACAACGTATCTGCATTTTGATTCTTAATCGAAGATAGATGAAGATATTTAAGGACGATAACATCCACAAATCCAAAAAAAAAAACAAGAAACTTATTTTCTATATATAATTTTGTGTATAAATTTACTATTGTATATGTCATAGGTTAACCACCACTGCCCTAGAAAAATTACAATAAGCACGAAAAAAAGCTTTAAAGACTTCATTGAGTTACTAACAAAATGGATGCAGCTTGTAACTCCTGTCGCACAAAATTACCTGCCATTCTTGAATGTGAAGTTTAAAAACAACGTGCTTGATCTATTCAAATGCACAACGGGACTGGGCGATTAGTGTGCGTGATGAACACGCGCTCTTCCTTAAGTTAAATGTATATCTCTCACAGAATACCAGCGTTAAAAGTATCATAATGCTACTGTGTTTCTAACGAGAATCAGAGACCCTTTATACTGGTAACGTGACATTCCATGCCTTTAGGGTTTATATTCCATAGTAGTCTTCAATTTATATGAGAACACACGAGACGCACCAGCCTTCAGATAAAAAAAGAATCATCAAAATCGGTTCACCCAGAGAACATTTATGAGGTAACACATAAAAAACATACAATCGAATAGAATACTTCTTTCTTTTTGAAGTCGGTAAAAAATGGTTCCGAAGACTTGTGTAATATGATTGACGTGAAAACTTATTTCTGAGTCTGAGAAATATAAATCTACAACATTTTTAACATGGTAGGTACAGAATTTAAAGAAAACAATGAAGTATACTATGTATAACACATAAATGCAATATAAGTACCCTTGTTCTGCAACTAATTAGTTCTCTCATTTGTTAGATTAATTAATCCACACATAGACATCTTGTGGCAGACTTTACGCAGGTCACTTGTTAGCCTAAGTCTGACCACATATGTAACGTAATCTACGAAACTTCGATATTTGTACTTTCGTAGGAAACAGTGCAAACAAATATTTACTTATCGATTTCTATACCAGAAATAAACCAAAGAACTAAGTTGTAAAACTTTAAATCTGAAGCGCGTTTTTATTCCATATTCTATAGTCCGTCTTGTGTAATCGAGATTTTTAGAAATCATTATCCTGAAAATGTTAACCATTCAAAAAAAAAAAGGTAAAATAAAATTCAAAATCAGTCAAGAAATTAGAGAGAAACCCACTTCTCCCCATGCACAGTTTCTAAGGATGAAACGTAAATTTGTCATTTTTACAAATTCAAATGTTAGTAAGTATATTTAGTTCAATTGTTTTACTTTTATATTTAGGCAGATTATAATTTATCTGATGGATAACTTTATCGAGGTTTGAAAAATCAGCCCTTAAAATACTTTTGTAGTCTGTATATCCACACGTCAATTGTTATTAAAAACAAAAACATTCTAAACCAAATATTGAACATTTTAGAGAAATTCTGTTCAATTTAAGCCAAAATAGTCAGCCACGCTTGGCAGGCATTTGGCAATCTAAGCCATTAGCCATACTACACTGTCTAGCATTAAAATGTGACTCTGACACTACTTTCCTTTGCTTCTTCTTTTTTTGGGAATCTTTCAGGCACTTCCCATAATCGCAGCTAAAACCCATCCAGAGATCAGAGATGGATATTTCCTACTCTGTCAACACTCGAAGTCATTAAATACGCTGGTATTTATTATATTTTAGAGGTATATCATGCTCTTTTGCACAATATAACAAAGTAACATGTGTTAAATTAGGGACCTGAATAAAGGATCATAGGTATTTGCGAGGCGTACTGCCGCACTAACATTTAGTCGCTCCAGTAAACAAACATGTGTTAACCCCACGATATTAGCTTAATAGTAGTTACTTTGCCTTAGACGTAATTCGTCGCATATTACTTGTTAAATAAAATAGTTTATATTTTGGTTAGTAAAATAATTATAATCAATGTGTAGTACTAAATAATTTCCAAATATTTCTAATCGGCTTCGAAATAATGAATAAATACCTTGAAATAGCAACTTAATGTTCCTGTGTTTCGTATATGTGAGTGTTGAGATCCGGAAACCCTTTTTTTACTGGAAACGAGACATTCAACAGACATCATCAATATCATCAGACAACGAATCATAATGCAGATGTATGATTCGTAATCGAGGATAAATGTAGATGTCTATGGGCCACAGCAACCACTTATCATCAGGTAGACTGTGTGCTCGTTTGTCACCATTATTATATAAAAAAAATCTATCCAGACTGACTTCTAAGCAGAATAAAAGTCCTACCTGCTACTAAGCAGGCGTACCGGGCGGGGAATTTTACAAGTTACGTTTTTTACTAGTGTGTTACCAATTACTAATTTATCATCGCGTAAAAAGAACCTGAAATCTAATACATAATTAATTTATCCGTATACAAATACAAATAATTTGCAACACCGGAGATAAAATTTTGTATGATAACCACGGTAGGTTTACCGTAACAACATAAAAAACAATTTATCAAAAGGCCTAGTTAAGGGGAAATATAATCTCAAATGGCTTAGCAAGATCCTTCGTTATGCCGAAAATATTGCAGCATTAATTTTGAAATAAATATATGGTAAAGTTGAGGATTAATGTTAAGGATTATGTTAGACGAAAACACGATTTCGTAAAATCTTCTCGATAGAAAATAAAATCCAAAGTTACCTCCAAAATAAACAATAAACCGCTGTTATTCATAAAATACTTTAAATAAGATCATGAAACTTTGCATACTAACTGAACTAACTATAAAGCAGTGCTTATGTTATTTACTTTTTTTTAAATACCATTATTTTCACTGTAAAAAGAAATTACCTAAACTAGCGGCCTCTTGAAGCGTGATTCCTGCCGCACGGTCACTTCGCTTCGACCTTTGAACGGGGAGGTTGTGTCGCTTACGATCAGAATATACATTACGCAACAGGACGACGTAAAATTAAAATGGGAAATAACCGTAATAAAAATAAGAAGCGACTGGCTTGGCGTTAAGAAACAGGCATAAATATGATAAACCTAATGAAATAAGTGTCTAACGACCTTTCTACTTACAGTATTAGTGATTACAAACATGTCGGTACATAGCATACGACGCGCGGGGGAAGTGGGGGCGAAATTAGAATTTCAGCTGACTTACTCTATCCCCTTAACCAACAGAAGACGTATCTACATACGTAAATGATATAAATATATGACTTGATGAAAATAATAATAATTACCCTAAGATGTTGTTTTCTCCCAGGACAGTGGAACCAGTAATGAATTAAAATAATAACTTTTATAAGGCTAGGTGACACACATCTTACGATCCAAGGTCTTTACTACGTCATTTGTAATGCGTAAGCAAAAGAGTGAGATAATTTACTAGCGTCCGTCATTCCATTGTTTTTTTAAGCTAACCTAATGCATTCAGCCAGTTTATCATCCTCAGCTAAATCACTACTTATGTATAATCGAATAGGATTCAAGTCAGAATACTGTTACCGGTATCCTTATCACTTAGTATGCTAAGCCGTAACAGTACCGTAACGGTAGCGTAATCAAGTTGTCTTATAATTGGTAAAAATACACTATGTCAATCGAAATTCGGCTGCTCGCGACCTTCGAAATTTAAGAAGATCCACATGAGCCTTACCACGGCTCTAATTATTCAATGAATTTACTTTTATTCTCCTTTATCGGCGTACGAAAATCACGCATTCCTTGAAAGATTTAAATCTAATATTATTTAGTCTAATATTTAACTACATAGGGCAGGGTACATGAGGAGGGCAAGACAAGAGGAATGCCTTCACCTGCTAATTCTGTTTTATCATCAGTAGTCTATGGGAGAGTTCAGAACATGTATTTTCCTCTATCAGTAGGACAACAGAAACTCGTTCCTTTGTTGAACATGGTGCATTACAAACGGGAAAGTTGCTCAATTCATCAAATATTTATATAAACGTTAATTCTGTTAGTTCTCTTATATAAGTTGCATTCAAACCAACTAAAATTCAACTTAAATTAACAATAATACTTACTGGTAATATCATATACGACGACCGCAACAGTTGAATCTCGAATGTAGGAAGGAATGAGCGAGCGGAAGCGCTCCTGGCCTGCAGTGTCCCACAGTTGGAGTCGCACCGTGCGGTCTTCTAGATACATAGTCTTCGACAGGAAGTCGATGCCGATTGTCGCCTGTATATAACATATACAAATTAATAATACATACCAACTGTTCTCCAACAATACGTAAGTACACCGTTGATTTTATTTAAGTCATTTAATGAATTGCTAACAATATAAAATATGAAGACAGGCATGTTAATGCGGAACAATTAACTTAAAATAAAATGAATTAACTAACAAAAAAAAACACAAAATGATACTTAAAAGTTGAGTTTGGTTGAATTTGATTGAGTTGTCAAGTGATACATATACGTTTCCCCGGCAGAAATCCTCAGATAACTAGTATCGACATTACGAACTGTACTTAAATAAATAATTGATCAGCATAAAAGTAAAATAAAGTTACAGCCTATATACGTCCCACTGCTGGGCACAGGCCTCCGCTCATTTCTGAGAGGGTTTTAGGGCAAGGAATTGTCCGCCGCGCTGCCCCAATGCGTGTTGGCGAACTTCACATGTCTTCGAAATATTTTTTTTCTTATTTCTTTGACATGCAGGTTTCCTCACGATGTTTTCCTTCACCGCCGAGCACGTGGTAAATCAGCACTTAAAATTGCAATTAACAATTTCATTGGTGCCAGCGGGGATCCAACCCGGTTTGCTTGCGTACTGTGAAATATACAGCGAGTGCTAACCATCTGAGCTACCACGGCTTTATTGATCAGCATCTGAGGCTGAAATTATCACCCATAATAAAAGACGCGAAGGTAACAGATCGCGTAGCAAGTTCAGTGTTTAACGCATATAAAACTAGTTCTATTATCGATTCACGGCAGCGAGCGTCCTTTGGGAGAGATCTGTGCCCAGCAATAGTAATTAAAATCCATATTGTGTAAGGTACGAAACTTATCAACTCAAAGGTCCATGCAACTTACTAAAAATGCCTCTTACTATCAAAACTGTGAGTTATTATTTTTGTCGCTTAATTACGCTTCAAGAACTCAACAAGTTTAGCAGATAGATTGAGTATGTCATTAAAACGGACTTAGGATTTTTGAGCACCTACTGGGCAAAGAAACCTTCGTTTTTCAAAATAACACATCTACAGACCGTCACATGGCTATAATGCTTAGAATTCACTAATGGCGCGTTCCCATTTTTCGCATCTGGCTTTTGATTGAGTTGATGCTGACGCCCACCCCAGTAGAGATAAAAGTTTGGGTGGATAAAAAAAAAAGGTTTTCTTTATAGTACAGATATAACTTTATAGACCTCAATCACCGAATTATGGAGTAACAAAAAAGTACTTTGCAATTATGGTGCCGTCATCTGTGGTATCTTTACTTTCCGTGGTCATCTTTAACATAGCATTATAATAATAATAAGGATGGCACCATCGACATCTGTCGAGGTTGCCGCCATCCCGGTGAGTCACTTAGGCATGTCATCTCCGGTTGTTCGGCGCTTTCTAACTCTGAGTACTTGCACTGACACAACCTAGTAGCATAGTATGAGCTCGCTCGCTTAGCATAGTAAGGTCTCGTGGATCTGAAACTGCCTTATTACCTAGTACCTGCCGAAAGCCGTGCAGGAAAATGATCTCGATCTCTACTGGGACCGGGCCATCAATCACAGACAGAACTATTCTAGCGAATAATCCTAATATTGTGCTGATGGACCGGGCACAGTCAAGGATGTTTTTGATCGATATTACCATTCTGTATGACGAGAACCTCGTGAAAGCCGAAACAGATAAGTAAACAAAATATCTGTACCTGGCTCACGAGGTGACTGATATGTGGGGTGGCCAATCGACCGAAATTGTTGCTGTAGTCGTCTCTACGAACGGGCTAATCCCAGTCAGCCTCTAGGTCTAGGGTCATCTGAGGCGACTGGGACTCGGTGACGGACCGCTCCGAACCAGACCGCCGTGCTCCTCGATCGAACCCGCATAATCCGCCGGTTTCTTTCCCTTTCCCCATGACCCTCGGCCGTTTGATCATCCCTGACGAAGGCATCCATCTGGTTGGGCTTTTATTTATTTATTTATGGTAGTATATTAAATATATATTTATCATTTCCTTTTATGTTTTATCCACCCCAACCAGATGAGAATACTCTATTATAATAATATCTTTATTTGACGCTCCTGTTTCATTATAACTTTTACTAGTTCCCATTAAATTTTTTTGTCTGTGACAGTTGACACAATTTTAGACATATTGGTAGATTTTATATTAAATTATACCACAATTTTATAATTTTATAATTACCCAAAAAGTATTTCAAGCAAGCAATTTCGTTAATTGTGAATATAGTGTGCTTTTTCATGCTATGTGGTCAATTATGTTTGTAGCATAAATATTGGTGTTTTTACAGAAAATCAAAATGCAGTTACGTAGTTTATATTATATACTGTTATTAAAGGTGTATCGCAATGATTCAATCCTATAAATCTTCTATTTCTTGAGTTATTGTGAAAGGTAATGCTGTTTGAGGCTAGGCAAAGTTACTTCACCTAGTACGTAGGCAACTTTACCTATGAATAGGGTTATCAAATTTAGCACGCATAAGTAATCTGGTTTTGTGTCGGAACCATTTAAAGATTTTGTTTATTATTCAGAACATCAACTTTAAATATAATACCTAGCGATTTTTTAAATTCCTTTATGAAAATTTTTGATGTGAAATAAATTAATACATAAGTAACAAATTTGCTTGATTTCCTATTTCAGATATATTCAAGATTCCTCCTAAAAGACGTTCGAGAGCGCGAAGTTACAAAAATTACTCTGAAGAGATGCTATTATTAGCTGTTGATCTAGATAGAAACAAAAATACAACTTCTTACGAAGCTGATAAGCAGTTTGGCATACCCCGACTGACTATAGAAGAAAGAGTGAAAAACATGCATACTGATAAACCTGGTTCTGAGAAGAAAACTATGCCAAAGTACTCATAGCGGCGACTGACTTTGGATGTCCGCTATCACAGTTGGACTTAAAACTGGCGATTTATGACTACCTTAAAAAAATAACAAGACATATATTCAATGGCCGAATTCCCGGTGATTAGTAAGACATTTATTAGAACGGCACAAAGAAAATCAACTAACGCTCAGGTCTACTCAAAATAGTTGTTTTAGTTTTCGGGATATATTTTTTTATACTGTTTACAGAATATTTTTGATTATAAATTACACTAAATATTTAATTGTGTACTGTTTTTATGCAGTTTTAATTTCTAGAATAGTTTCTCTACTCAGTATACAATAGGTATTAAACTGTAATGCATAAAGGTCTTGTTGCTTGGTTCCTTAATAATAGTTATTAAAAAAATGATATAATGTTTTATGATTTTTGACAACCCTGATGACATCCACCCGTTCCTATAGTTTTGAAATTCTTGGAGCAACTTTACCAATGTATTGGTAGTGCTTACTTAAACGAAGATGGTAGCTTCAAAAATAAATCCATCGTGTTTTAAGTACCAGGATCATTGGTAACTTTACATCGCGTGCACTCTGGGACACTTTTTTGCAGGCTAGGTAAACCACCTCCTCATAGGATAGGGCTCATAGGATACCAACATTTGCCATGGTTGCTGTGCTTGGCGAGCAGGTTGGCAACCGGAGTTTTATTATTTTTACTCGATATAAGGAAAACGATGCTGCTTATCTCCTAATTTGTTTCCCTCTGTGGCCTCTTACGACAACCATGGAATGATATGGGCACTACCCCAAAATTAAGGTGTGGTGGCGGTGTAAGATATATCCACTAGGATATATCTTACACCGCCACTACACCTTAATTTTGCAACCTATGTTCCACAATAAATACATATAACATACATATATATATATATATATATATATATATATATATATATATATATATCACGGCAGAACAGTTGTAGCATGAATGAGTCGACTCATCCAAAGAAAGAGAATGGTCTCAAAGGATACCAACATGAAAAAGCAGCTTAATGTCACTATATTTTTTATGGGAATGTAAAGAACGGGACATTTTTTATACTGGAAACGAGGCATTACACTTTCATTCTTAATAGAGAATAGGGCCACAGCATCCACTTACCATCAGGTGAAATGCAAGCTTGTTTGTCACCCTTATTCTATAAAAAATATGATCTGATTTGGAATGATTTTAAACCATTTGATAAATCATGTCGGACATCCAACAAATAGAAACTGGCAATAAGGTATCTGGTACAGGTAACTAATAAAATCTAAAAATCTTGAATTATTGCAAAATTTAGAACTGAAATATTCAATTCTTCTGGTCTATATAGTCCAAGATGATAATGCAAAATACCTTATACAGTAAAACTACTAATAGCTGCATAGTGGCGACAAACAGACCCCACTAACCTACATCATTCCATGAGTGTTATAACAGGCGACAGAAGAAAACTGAAAATAGGAGATGGGCAGCGACATCTTTCTGAGGATATCTTCTAAAATAGTAATTTAATTACGGCTGTTTTCAAACAGCCTGCCTCATATGGCAAATATCTGCCCTATGAGGCAGATTTTTTCTTGTGTATTAACATAATAGTGTAGCAGCTGGTAACATTTTTTTTAAACTAACTTCTCAATTAGATGACATTGTGTAACAAAAAACTTCCCCTCAGTCCAAACTAGTAGATCTGGTGAGTGGAAGATATTAGCCATCATTGCCACATGTGCCAGGAGAATTGATGATCACGATACTAGACATTTCACACTTAATATTTTTTAATAATAATCATAAGAATGATGTTAAATTGCAAATTTACTTAATTAACTAATTGCAATATTCTAATCTAGCATTGTGATATTAGATTACAATATTGCAGTACATACAAGTATAATAAAATAGACATTCCAATACACTTTGATAACAATGTAATTTTGAAAGCACAATAATAACATTATAAAAGGAAAATATCATTATCAGATAACACATTTGACAATGACAATTATTTAAATACAAAAATTTTAGGGATGACACACTTCGATAGTAAAATCCTATACCTTTAAACGAGCAATTCTTGTATAAATAATTATATAAAAAATATATATATATATATATATATATATATATATAATCGGGATCTCGGAAACGGCTCCAACGATTTTCATAAAATTTAGTGTCCAGGGAGTTTCAGGGGCAATAAATCGATCTAGCTAGGATTTATTTTAAAATGTCCTTTGTCCTGTTTTCAGTAAAAAACTGCTACAATATAAGAGAAGGTAAATTTTGACAGGTTACCAACGATCGTAATAACTCAGATGGGATGTTGTTCGGGTGTGGTGTCAGAGTTCCGTGGTTCGCGTCCCGTCTTGGGTCCGACTTTTTTTCCTTTTTTTTCAAGTTCCCTTCTTTTGTGAGAAAATCTATTATTTCGAGCCCTTTTTTTTTAGTATTTTTTAAAAATACGAAAATTTTTATTAAACTAATTGCACTCATGATTTTTTATTCAAATAACCAGTTCAGTTTTTTCTATTATGTCAATAAGATCAAAAACTATTATTCATGTAATTTGTATATAAATGTAACTTAAAAAAAAACGAGCAAATCTAGGTCATCCGGGTACTAGTATTATTTAAATACAAAACAAAATCATAATTGTTAGAGCTGTTTTTTTATATAATAAGGGTGAGAAGTGAGCACACAGTCCACCTGATGGTAAGTATATGCTGTGGCCCATAAACATCTACACTTATCCTAAGAAGATTAAAAATACAGATGCCTTATCAACTAAAACACAAAATTTTAGCAAAATCTACTAACTAATCTTGAGATATTGTTTTTGTAAGAATTGACAAAGTCAGGAAACCTTCTCATGGTAGAAAACATGAAAGGTACTTCACAATTTTGTTAACTATTGTACACAAATAGCTACAAATATACTTATATAAAATTTTATATTTAAGTTATTGAAAGGATTCAAAAATATATCGTGATAAATTTATAAATATTAATTCACACCTATGATGACTCCTACATAACTGCTCATGTTATTTAAATAAAAAATAGTTTCACCTTAATTTTTAATGAAAATATTTTAAGTTATCAAGTCAATATTTCAGGTCATCATCATCATCATCATGATGATGAATATATTCCTTAATTCATTTGTCAAGGAAGAATACAATAGGCTTAGTTTAATTAGCTAATTAGGTATAATATATATTCATATTATAAAGCTAAGCCAAGAATACTGATCTTCATAATGTCTACAATTAAACCAAACCATAGTAAACCCAATTGTGTAACTAGTTGCCCAATATTTTCAGTGTTAAATCAACACAAATCTTATAGTATGACTGTAAAATCAACAATAAAAATTACTAAGTGACTCACCTGGTAAGTGTTGTCGAAACTATCGTACATGAACCTAGTGATCAGCGAAGTCTTCCCAACTGAAAGCACATTTGTGTTGTCAATACCCTTCTTACGGCATATATGTACTTGTACTATTCAAAAGCTGATTGATAACAGGAGCATAGAAATTACGTGAGAATTCGACGGAGCTCCTGTGACGGCACTCTGTAACCTACATTTCACGTATTACTTAAAACGTCAGACTCAGAACGAATTTCTGTGGTAACAGAGTGCACGATGATTTGTAGATAAATGAAAAATATTGGTAAGTAAGTTCATATTTTTATACAAATATAAATACGTGTCGTAAATTTAACATATTAAAAATGTACGACAGAAATTTTTTCGTCGACTGGGTACTTACCGCTCTGCTCTCCAAGGAAAACAAGCTTAAATTTGCGTAAAGGGTTACCAAATTCACCCGATGCAGACATCGCGAATGATTATAATAATTATATTACGCTAAACTATAATTTCACAGTAATTCTTATCACAGAAAACTACATGAACAATGACAGTTCAAGTCGGGGCCACTCCTGTGGCACACGAGCGCAGCGCCGCCACGTTACGGCAGACTGACCAGTGTTACCAATTCACTTTAGTCAAAAGTTACAGTAGCATACATTCATTCAAAGAGAATATAAAATAGGTTTAGATACATTTTTCAACTACACCATTTGGAACATTGATTTTGTTAAACTTTCATTAAAATGAAAGAAGAAACTGTCGTTTTTTGAGAATTTCCACGCTTACATGCATTAATTTTTAGTACGCAACTTAGTTAAAGGTTATATTATTTCAGTTATGTTTTATTTCGTAGAATTGTTTCAAGATGGTTTTTGATTATTTCGATTATTCATTGGAAAAGTGACGGAAATAAATTGTTTAATCTTTTTATATGATAGTGTGAAAGCAACAATATAAAACGTGAAACTAAGAAACTTAAACAATTTCTAAGGATATTGTATTGGACAAGAAACTTACAAAAGTTACCAGAGACACATTCTGGCTACTCTATGCTATAAGTATTTATGCCCCTATTACACTCAAAGATATTTCAAAACATTTTTGATTACACTACCGTGAATCAGGGTCCAGAATGAAGGGTGGGCGTAGTAGCCCCTAATTAGAGACGTCAGTTACTACACTATCCTGATTTTACGCCCTTACTCAGTCAAAGGGATGGACATATATATATATATAACTAGTCTCGAGAATTGAAACAAAGAATTATAACAATCAAATATTATATTTATGTTATTTTGGGAAGTTTTACACTATTTATTTTTACACATTTAATTTTATCGAATAATTATCAGAAAACAAGAGTTAATTAAATAGTTTTTTTACGTTAATTTCTTAGAAATTGAATTTTAAAATAACAATTTTGACAACTTGGCGCATAGTAAGCGTTTTCGCTCGCGGGTGATTGTAGATCCCACCTCTGAAAGTAATCGCATTTTCTGAATACATCTATGAAACTATACCGAAATACATACAGGTGAATAACCGTTCATCCATAAAAGTCAATAGTTCAGAAAAATTATTGTAACTAAATACGAAGTACCGTAAGCCGATAAAATAATTTCCATTCCAAAATAACTATTACCTTATAAGGCTGTACTTAAGCTATTTATTAAGTTAAAACTCAAACAATGTAATTATTAACTAGAAAATGCATCAATTTCAATCCAATAAAAATTAAAATATTGAATATTTATAAACTTATCTTAATTAATTATCACAAGTAAAATAACTATAATTTTTCATCGAAAATGGAATTACCAATTGAAGACAATTGCACTTCTGAAGTTCAAGTATACATATTTATTTTCGCCTGAAAGACCATTCATCTGTTTGTTAATTCATAATTAAAATTTTCGGGATTGAATTATTTCTGAATACTCGTAAACCTTCTAACTTTAAAAGTTTTGACGTTATCTAACTTTGACATATTTTATTTCGAATATTTATTTTTCGGTAACATAAAATTCGTGATAATCATCGTTCGAAACTTTTAACACACGCAGTTTTATACCTTCGAATAGTTGGTTATTTCGTAGTCTTTGACGGCAAGCCAAAATATCGTTCATAGAACATCGCTCATGAAGAACCATGTTTATGAACGATATATCGATGATTGAAAAAATTGATGTATCGTTTTTATCTCTAGTCACGCATCGAATAAGTGCCCCAACTCCCTTAGTGTTTATTACACATCACGGTGGCAAGGGCACTGCAGACCGGGTCCACTTTGACGCCCTAATTAGGGACCCTTACTCCCTTTCTCTTATTAGACGACCGTGAATCAGGGTGTAGGGACCCTGATTCAGGGTAGTGTAATAGGGGTTTTATGTATGTTTTTGTGTCCATAAGCCACAGACCGTAGAGCATGGAGGTTAGAGAACAGAGGGCCTAGACAAGTGGCATTCGCTCCGTATCTAATCCATTTTGAAAATCGATTTCATCTTAGCGATATTTAACTGAAAGTGGTAGATAATGTAACATAACGCTAAGTCGAAGCGTTCACTCGATAAAAGTCAACTTCTTGGCTATGGTCTCAAAATGAAACGTAGCGTCAAATTCGACACGTCAATTGTGTCAAACACGCGCTTTAAATTTAAACAAAACGTACTTGACAACTTATTAAAGTAAAGTTTGCTTGTGAAAGTGAAGTAATTGGTGTTAAAAATTGGTTCGTTGTCATCGAACATCTACGTTTTTGGCAGGAGGAGAAACGAGACAGGCAGCTGTATGATCTGGAGACTCGTAGGATAGAGGTTGACCACGAGCGTAATCAATTGTTACGCATGTTTGCAGACATTAAATAATCATGGTTTGACTACTATCAGAGTAAAGACAATACAGAGCAGTTAGATCATACTCCATAGGTACGAAGTTCATTACGCCTGTATTTCACGGAAGGTTAGGCAGAGCTGTACTGTACACTCACATTTCACCAAATATGTTACAAGTCCCATGTAACAGGGGGGAGCCTATTGCCATTATCCGGACACAAATTCAGACTCCAAGCTGCTACTGAGAAATTTATAATGAAAAAACCCACTAACACAGCCCTACCCGGGGATCACACCCGCGACCTCATGCTTAGATATCGGCTACTATTGAAATTCTTCCGTAAAAACCAGTTTAACATAATGTAAGCAATACTGTATTTTCAACTGCTTTAAAGATTTTTAAATTTATTATTAATTGGATTTATTTTTAGTACTGATAGTATTTAAAGTTTTTTTAAAGTTTAATATTATCATATATTTAGTCGATGGTAAAGTGCATGTAGATAGTTATTATTAAGTTATTATTCAAGTAGGTCTAATAAAATATATGAGTTGGTTAAATTATAGAATTATAACATTTTGTTTTGACTATTTTTTATTTTAATAACACATCCAGAATGGATGAGCTGCGAGCGTGTAGATACAAAGATGATGGCTGAAAGAATAGGTATGAAAGGAAAGAGCCGTGTAAGCCACTGACCCCAAACAAGTTACTACAAGCACAGGTCAATGATGACACTTAATAAGAAATATTTAAAATGTCGCCTCTATAAATGTAGAGACTGATTTATTAATTGATAGATCAATCCCACCAAAAACATAACAACCAAAAAATGCAAGTCTCGCAATGTAATCCTTCTACCACAAAAAGTTGCGAGATCCAATATACAAACGTTGTAAAGATAGTAAAAAACTTGTAAAAGGAGTGGTCATATTACGTTAATTTACTTTTTTTAATAGTAAGTTTACTATAAAAAGTTTAGTAAAGTTATTTTGTCCCTGCAGTTGGGGTCATAAATCATTTCAAATTTCAGCCCGGCTAGGGCAGTGAGCATTTTGCGCGGGCGCAACGCCATTATCGATAACAACAAATGAATCATCGAAGGCAGGTACACTCATCTCATCTGGCAGAAGATATTGTAATTCATGTGGATGACGATGGCTCTGATGATTATGATGTAGAATTTTAATGTAAATAGTTTTAGATTTAATTTTAGATATAAATTACGTAACCGCTTCCAGTGCCTAGAAGATTGCAATGCAGTGGACGATATGAACGACAAGCTCGTGGAAACTGTCCATGCGGTCGGAGCTAAGTTCTGCAAGACCCGCCGCAGAAGAACACAAAAACTCTCTGATCACACTCTTAATCTCATGGCTGTTAGACGGGAGATGAGGCTGCAATCGTCAACAGATTTGACAGCATACAGGCAACTGAACAGACAGATCTCCAAATGCATACGGCGAGACTTACGCAACTTTAATACTTCTCGTATTAAAGAAGCGATCGAGCGGAACCAGGGCTCCAAAGTCTTTGCCAGAGATCTGTCTGCCAGAAAGAGCCAACTGTCAAGGCTGAAGACTGAGTGTGGCAACATCGTTTCCGGGACACCTGAGATTTTGAGTGAGATTGAGAGGTTCTATGGGCAGCTGTACACATCATCGTTGGAGCCACACGCAAGTGTGAGTAACGATCCAAGAGCAAGTCTTATCCGACACTATTCCGATGATATCCCGGACGTCAGTCTAAGCGAGATTAGAATGGCTCTCCAGCACCTTAAAAACGGCAGGGCCCCAGGCGAGGATGGAATTACAGCGGAGCTTCTGAAAGCGGGTGGAACACCGGTACTTGAAGTCCTTCAGAAGCTCTTCAATTCCGTCCTCCATGGTGGCACTACTCCAGAGGCGTGGAGCAGAAGTGCGGTAGTCTTGTTCTTTAAGAAAGGCGACAACGCTCTCTTAAAGAACTACAGACCGATTTCCCTTCTGAGCCGCGTCTACGTGCTGTTTTCGAGAGTCATTACGAATCGTCTCGCACGCAGACTTGACGACTTCCAGCCTCCCGAACAAGCCGGTTTCCGAAAAGGCTTCAGTACCATAGACCACATACATACCCTGCGGCAGATTGTACAGAAGACTGAAGAGTACAATCTGCCACTTTGCCTGGCGTATGTGGACTATGAGAAAGCCTTTGATTCCGTCGAAATTTGGGCGGTGCTACAGTCCCTTCAGCGGTGCCAAGTTGACTGTCGGTATATCGAAGTGCTGAAGTGTTTGTACAGTAGGGCTACGATGGCTATCCGAGTACAGAACCAGAGCTCGAAACCTATCAAACTGCAGAGAGGTGTAAGACAGGGTGACGTTATATCCCCGAAACTCTTCACCGCTGCATTGGAAGACGTTTTCAAGCTACTGGACTGGAAAGGATACGGTATTGACATCAATGGCGCGTACATCACTCACCTTCGATTTGCCGACGATATAGTCCTTATGGCAGAATCGCTGGAGGACTTAAGCACTATGCTCAATGACCTCAATAGTGCCTCCCAACGGATAGGTCTTAAGATGAACATGGACAAAACAAAGATCATGTTCAATGTCCATGTCACACCTATGCCGGTAGTTGTTGGGAGCAC